GAACATGTTAAAAGGAGAATGGGTAACCCGCAACAGAAGAAAAAAAGAGAGGATGGGTAAGCCGTTCTTCTAGCAAGTTGTGTTGCTTTTAGCATGATCGGGCACACGTGTCGAGTTAAGGAGCAAAGCTTACTTTAAATTAACCAAGCAGCAGGATTGATTACATAAACAAACCATGCATGACGATGATGGCCAGCATCATCGACCTTTGATTAGTAGTTGGCCTGGTTAGTACGTAGTGGATCAGTGAGTACACTAGTAGTGTTACTTGGCAACTTGTGCTTAGGACCACCACTAATAGAGCCAAATGGAATCTCATCACTGCTTCTCAGTACTTTAAATTAACCGGGTTCAAAGCTAATCGAGACTTGCATGTTCATGTAACATCACTAGAGCCCAAGCCCCCATGCCATTAGAAGATATTTCTTTTTTTTATTAGCGAGCCAACCGCAAAATATATATATATATATATATCCCCCGCAAAAAAAAATTCTCATTATTAGACTCTATATCATGGATCGTGTTAGGTGTCTGGCATGGAACCTGGATTTTGGTTTGTTCTTCGAAAGCCCTAGCTCTCTGATATTTATGTTTGTTCCCTCTAAAATGCAAGTATTCCAGGGTATATTGTAGTCTCCAAACATGTAGATCACAAAAAAATACCCTCAGTTGATTCTAACTGGAGAGAAAAGCAAGATCATGTTGGCATAGTAACATCAGTTGATTCTACTCCCCCCTCTAGATCCTAAGGATGGCCACTACTTGCAAGATCGGGGGTTATTACAATGGGACAGAGGGTGAATGATTGTGTCGATGTAACTCTAGCTACAGTTCAAGTTGATGGCAATGATAATGTGTAATATATAGGTTGATCGTAGGTTTACTCTGTACTCCCTCCGTCCGAATATATGTGTCACCAAAGTGGATAAAAATGGATGTATCTAGAACTAATATACATCTAGATACATCCTCTTTAATTCATTTTGATGACAAGTATTTTCGGACAGAGGGAGTATTTGCCAAGGATAACAGTGAATGGTGCAACGATGGCATGATCAAGATGCAACGGCAGTACTAGAGGAGAAGCAGAGGAGTTTGAATGAATGGTAACGTAAAACTCATGGAAGATAAGTCAAAACAATTACAACCAATAATAAGTGTATCTTTAACAATGGGTCAATTTTCAATGAACTTAACCTGGTCCAAGAGACACAAATTTAGACATCTCTTGACACCTGTCGTCACAGAGTCGTCAGTCGAACTGGTGAGTGACGTCGATAGGTGATTTTGATTATTTTTCTTCCCAACTAAAAGTGATCTTGAATGGTTGACAAGAAACATCCATGTGGGTGGTACTGGTACACGACAGTATGGTAGCCATAATGTACAGAGGATCAGCCCTAGCTGTTGGGAACCGTACTTAGTCTAATCAGGGGATTAGTTTATTTAATTAACAAATAGGACGGACTTTGGAAGTGTCCGGACGATTTAATCAACAACAGTAAATCATACGACCACATGATTATTTCGACACAACAAAGGCATAATGCATAATGCAAGCTACTTCTACTATACGTATATATTAGTAGTAGTATTTCTAGTCATGCACGTGTAACTCTTTTCGATCATATCTCCTTGACGCGATATATTAAGTTAATAAATAAATATAACTGATTGAAAAACCCTTGTGAGGATTTACGCATCTGTATACAGATAGTCATCAACAGGAGCGTACATCAACATGATGTATGTATCAAATTGAGTGTAGCTGAGATGGTTATGTTTGTTGTGGAGGAACCACCGAGTTGAAGTCCTGGACTTGGCATGGGTGACCACATTTTTCTGAGTTTATTTCAGGCATTCTGGCGATGTACAAGATGATGTTCTTGCCAACTACGAGGTGCCTCTGGCCACTTTGTCAATCTCAAAATTTGTTGGTTCAGTCTCTTGAAAGTGCTTATAGGAATGTTTGTAGATGCGTATATGTGAGTGTTCTGTGTTTGTTCAGTGTTTCTAAAAAAACATGTTACACATGAACATGGGAAGTCAAAAGAAAGAAATGCATGGTTTTATGTAAAGTACATTAACCAGTTCAAATATCTTTAACACACATCTGCAATAGTATTTGTAATTGGAAAACGCTGGTATTTTGAACCTACCAAATAAGTGACAGCTGTCCATTCGCACAAAGCCCAGATAGGTGGAAGAAGATAAATCAAGCTACGTATACAATACTACGTGATACCTACCTACATCAGCATGCATGCAACGAAAAATAAATGTAGAGCGTGCATGCGTTCTTGCAAGGAGGCCTAATCTCCAACATACTCCCTCCTACCCAGCCTAACTGCACTCGTCCCATTGTAAACTATAAATATACATAGTATAATCGGCCCCACCAACACCACAACAAATAATGGTCTTTCATGTATAATTAATTAATTAAGACGTACTCCCTCCGTTTCGAAATAGATGACCCAACTTTGTACTAAAGTTAGTACAAAGTCGAGTCATCTATTTTTGAAACGGAGTGAGTATGAAATAACCTGGCATTGCCTGTCTTGTGTCATTTATAATCAAAATTCTGATGCGTGAGTTGTATATATATGGATACTCTATCGCTACTACGTACCTAGTGTGATGCGCTCGCTCTAACGCACTTCCAATTAATGAATACATTGCTCCGTGCACCTATTAATAGAAAGGTTGGTGGTGTAATCTCATGTTTGTCGGAAAAGAAGTTGGCCATTGTA